GAGCTGAGCCAGGCAGCCCAGCCCTGGCTTCCACGCCTGCCTGTCCCCATCCCTGTCCCTTTCCCCTGCCCAGGTGGGGAACTACAAGCGCACGGTGAAGCGGATCGATGACGGGCACCGGCTCTGCAATGACCTCATGAACTGTATCCATGAGCGGGCCAAGATCGAGAAGTCCTACGCCCAGCAGCTCACCGACTGGTCCAAGCGGTGGAGGCAGCTCATCGAGAAAGGTACCATGTGTTCCCCCGGGGATGCTCCCCCAGGACTCCTGGGTCCCTGTGCTCCATCACAGCTTCACCTGGCAGAGCTGGAGAGGGTAAGGGCACTGGAATGACACTCTGGTGTCCCCTCTGCCCCCAGGGCCCCAGTACGGCAGCCTGGAGAAGGCGTGGGGGGCCATCATGACAGAGGCGGACAAGGTGAGCGAGCTGCACCAGGAGGTGAAGAACAGCCTAAAAGCTGAACGATGACTTTGAGAAGGTCAAGAACTGGCAGAAGGATGCCTACCACAAACAGATCATGGGAGGCTTCAAGGAGGCCAAGGAGGCTGAGGACGGTTTCCGGAAAGCCCAGAAGCCCTGGGCCAAGAAGCTCAAGGAGGTGAGAGGAGAAGCACAGCGTGTCCTGGGGCACCCATGGCATCTCCCAGCTGGCAGAGGGATGGGCAGGGGGCTGTGGGGCTGCTCTGATGTCCCTGTTCTCTCCTCTTCACAGCTGGAGACAGCCAAGAAAGCCTACCACATGGCCTGCAAGGAGGAGAAGCTGGCGATGACCCGCGAAGCCAACAGCAAGGCAGACCAGTCCAACACCACCGAGCAGCAGAAGAAGCTCCAGGACAAAGTGGAAAAGTGCAAGCAAGACGTGCAAAAGGTGTGAGCCACTGCCCTGCTCTGGGTTCATGAGGCATGGGGCCAGGAAAACTGGTGGAAATGGCCACCACCCCCTTTTGCCCCCCTTCATTCTCATTTTTCCCATCCCTGTGCTCCTGAGGGTTTTGGCTCCAGCTGGGCTACCCAGCATGGTGGTCCCCAACCCAGACCCTCTCAGCACCCAGAAAGGGCCTCTGAGGTGCTGGAGGTATGACTGAGGTACCCTCCTGCACCTTTGTAGACTCAGGAGAAGTACGAGAAGGTGCTGGACGAGCTGAACAAGTGCACCCCGCAGTACATCGAGAGCATGGAGCAGGTCTTCGAGCAGTGCCAGCAGTTTGAGGAGAAGAGGCTCAACTTCCTCAAGGAAGTCCTCCTGGACATCAAGAGGCACCTGAACCTGGCCGAGAGCAGCGGGTAGGTGCCTCCCATGCTGGCCGGGCAGAAAGCCTGTGCGAGGTTTCCTTGTGCTGCCTGGAAAAAAACCCAAGCACTGGTGGGACCAGGTGCTTCCATGCCCCCCATGCCTCCCCATGCCCATCCATGCTCTGCAATACAAGGGAGAGAGGTTTCTAGCCAACACCGTGGTCATCAAGAGGTACCAGAGTGGCAGGACGGCTGTGTGGGAGCCTGGCGCCCCCTAGTGCCTTGTAGGAGGTGACACAGCCTGGATGTGTCCCTGTTCCCCCCGTCCCCATCCACGGGGCACCCCACCGGGGTTCACCCCCATCCGCAGCACCCTAACCAGCATCTCTCCTTGCAGCTACGCCAACGTCTACCGGGAGCTGGAGCAGACCATCCGCCTCTCGGACGCACAGGAGGATCTGCGGTGGTTCCGCAGCACCAGCGGCCCCGGGATGCCCATGAACTGGCCCCAGTTCGAGGTGAGACTGGGAATGCTGGTTGGGGTGCTGGCAGCCCTGCAGGGCAGCTGGGTGCTCAGCGGTTCTGTGCTTGCAGGAGTGGAACCCAGACCTGACGCACATGGTAACGCGGAAGGAGAAGCAGAAGAAGGGCGAGGGGGTGACTCTGACCAACGCCAGCAGCATGGGCGAGACGGGGGCACTGGGAGGCGAGCGCGGGAGGTGAGGGGAGATGCCATGGGAAAAGCATTTGCCAGTGCAAACCTTCCCAGGGCTGTGGGGACACCCAAGGGGACATGGGATGACCTTGGTGACAGCCACCACTCTTCTCTGTCCTCCCTCCACGTCTTACCAGATATGTCGTTAGCTGGGGGTCCTGCTCCCTGCAGCCCCCGCTCCCCTGTAACCTCGGGAAGGCTGCAGCATCCTCCCGGATTTCGGCAGCACACGGTGCCTGCCCAACCCTCTGCCCCCTGCTTGCTCTGACGGCCCCTCTCCCTCCTTCCCCCACCCCAGTGTGAGCAGCCACGACCGCGGGCAGACCTACAGCGCCGAGTGGTCCGATGATGAAGGCAGCAACTCCTTCAACACCAGTGAGGCCAACGGCGGCACCAACCCCTTCGACGAGGAGTCGGCGGGCAAGGGGGTGCGGGTGCGGGCGCTGTACGACTACGACGGGCAGGAGCAGGATGAGCTCAGCTTCAAAGCAGGTACGGTCCATCACCACGTTGGGTTGGACAGTTCTTGGCTGCCAGAGCTGCGAGTCCCATGCTGCTCTGCTTTTTGGTGTAAAATCCCTCAAATCATTCTTGGGTTAACCCAACTCAAAAAAACGTTGAAGTGGGAGAAAGGGGAAGGCGTGAGGTGAGCCCAAGTTTGGGTGGGAGTGGAGAAATGGTGGGATGGGACACTTGAGGTCCCATGGGTCACCCCTTACCTTTCTACTCTACAAACCTGCATATTCAGGATCAGTCCCAGGAACGCCAGCACCTCCATCCTGGGCAGAAACAAGGGGACAGAACAGGCTCCAACACCTGCAACCATCTCCCCTCTTCCCACCTTCCTCTGCAGGTGATGAACTGACCAAACTCGGTGAAGAAGACGAGCAAGGATGGTGCAAAGGGCGCTTGGACAACGGGCAGCTAGGTCTCTACCCCGCCAACTACGTGGAGGCAATCTAAGTCTTGTGGTGTGCTCCTCATCGCCGTCAGCAGATAAATCCACCTCCGTTGTCTCCATCTCTCCACCAGCCAACCAGCCATGTTGCCGTCTGGTCCTTCCACTCCTCACAGTTAGAGATTCAGACATATTTTTCCGACCAAGCTTTTATTTTTTTAAGAGTTGTCTCCGAAGAGTATTTTGCATAGTCGCTTTCTTCTTCTTCTTCTTCTGAGATAATGTGAAGCGAAAGATGACATTGTCCGTTCGTCTACGTTAGCTGATTTTTTTTTTTCCGAGTGAAAAGCCGATACCTCAAGATCTTGAAGCCCAACCAGTGAGAGCTCCTGATTGGCTGGTTTTTAAAGATGCTGCAGTCATGAGCCACCATCTGATTGGCTGAAACTGTTCCAAAATCTAGGCACTTATGCTCCTGGGACCAATCAAATTCACCCCAAAAAAGCCAGAGGGATTAGAGTCCAGCTCCATTTTTTTGTCTGTTTCCATGTTCATGTCCCTGGTTCATCCTCCCTCCCTGAAGGATGGGGATGAACGTCCGGCCCTGTCGGCTCCGCCAGCCCCCGGCCCCATCCGTGGACAGGTCCCTGCTCATGGGCAGGGCTGGGGGTGGGTTGAGATGCCTGGGCGAGGTGGGACCAGCCCTGCCATGGGGCTTGGTGGCATCTCCTTAGCTTCCTCCCCCTCCTCATGGCAGGGCTGCCAAGTTG